GTTCTAGTGCTCTTCATGCGGAAAATCCAAGTGAAGACTGAGCTGACACAGTGCATGCGCAATGTCTGGTCTTGTGCCCGTTGCCACGTACTAGAGCGACCCTGCTAACGATTGATGCGGCAGATTCTTCGTTCTTGTCTCAATTTTGTTCATCTTGATCATTGCTTTCTCTTTAACTCTTGTCTTGGATGTTGCTTTTACACAAACCTTATTAAATTTCTCGATCATTCTTGCCATACACAACCATTATCTAATATTCAGACGTCGAATGTCGCACGGCCAATAAACTTCGATTACAAGTACGTAGCGAACGCCACCCAATATATTCATAAAAACGACTTGACAGTTGCACCGCCACATCGTCCAATCGCACCAGTAGATTCAGGCCCAATTAAAGGTCGTCCACGTATAATGCAGCATAAATCCACAACCCAAATGTTATTTGAAGAAGATGCATGAGTCTATTGCACATGAGGAGAACCGCGTATCCACAAAATACTCAAAATTGTCGTACACCTTGTTGCGACCCCTTCTTCTAGACCATACAGGCTACAATTTTACTTAAGCACTTGATCACGTCCTGCACGAACTTCCAGAGGAGAATATACATCCACCTCTTATTTCAAACGCTACATCAACAAGTGGTGTCAATATCGTATTTTACATTTCCATCCCCTGTGGCAACGCACCACCAAAACATTTAAATTGAGTTGAGGTTTGCCACAGTAAAAAATGTTCTATTTAATAACTCCGTACGTCTACATGTAGCGTGCTACAAGACGTGCCTTCTATCGTTCATTTTCACTAAGTTCGTTCCTTTAGAACCAAATTTTTGCTAAATTTCAACTACGTTTTGTTTGGGAAGCTGCTTTTGTACTCCCCAGGTCTTCTCATCATGCAACGACTAAAGTTCAGCTTGAATAGCCTTGAATCAATCATCGCGAGTTAATGACATGAAAGATTCTTCATACGTCGCCGGGGTCTCAAACGCTGCCTGTACTTGTTCATACCGGTATGCAATTTCTTTGTGCCTTTTTTACACACGTCTGTTCCGTCAGTATAGTCTTCATACTCACTACCAACTGGTACCAGCGTTTGACATTGTCCATTTTGTTTTACCGATATTTTGGAATCATTGCGAGTTTTGGCAACGTATAAACACTTGTTCATCGACTTTGCCTTATTTCAATCTGCCCTGATCTTGACACTTCTTGAACACAATCTCGATCTTCTCAAATCATTGCCACTTCATCAATCTCAAACAGGGGTATTTAACAATAGGTCTAACGTATCCAGGCATTTTGCTATCGCATCTCGATCGCAAATTTTTTGGCGTAAGCCCATCTTGCACATAACTATTTACTTGAAAATTTTGACTGCCGTTCATGTCTACGTCCACGTCTTCCGTACCTCTTGGCTGCTCTATGTTATTTGATACAACGTTTTCATTATGAACAAGCGAATTTTGTAGTCTTTAGATCTACTGTAGTGTTGCACGTTTTAAAGTGGTGGTCGCACATTAAATTTAGTCTATCTCGTGTACGTCACACTCTTTTCGTCTTTATCCGATAATCAAATTCCCTTGATTTGGTCCAAAACAATTATTAATAGCATTAAAATCGCATTCTAGTCATCTTAATCCTGTTTTACTTTTCAACATGTGCGAATTCCCTTGACCCATTTAAGCATATCTCATAAAGGTCACGTTTCTTGCCAAAGATTAGCTTAATTGGATTTGTAGTCGGGTGATTGGCGTACAAGTATTCGGTTTGTCACATCGGCAACTGTGTTGATTGTCTCAGAACTCCAGCTATAGCCCACTTGCAGATGGCTGAGCATTGATCTGGCTCGCTCTGTCAGTGTCCGATTCGTGCGTTCCGCTAGCCCATTCTGTTGTCGTGAATAGGGCACCGTCGTCTAATGCATGATATCGTGTGTTTGACATATGCCAGAGAAACGTCCGCTGACGTATTCCGTGCCGTTGTCCGTCTAGACACATCTGATCTTCTTGGACAGTGGATTCATCATAAGTGCCTTGTACTCGATGAAGCGACCATCACTTCCGACTTGTTTTAATTTAGTGTGCGACTACACATCCAGAAAAAATTATCAACAATGTCACGACAAATCTTAATCCTTCACAAGAATTAGTTCTCATAGATCCCATGACATCATAATGGACCAACTTCAACAATTTCTTGGCTTCAACCTGTCCGTTAGGTGATTTAGGAAGTGTCATGACCATTGGTTTTCTTTGGAAGTGCCCTAAGCAGATCTCGGTGTAAAGTGCACCGCGATGATTCATCTTAATATTCATTCCTTTGATACATTGCGATATCCTATAGCAGTTTTAAGGGCAGGTGATCTTATCTTGCATTCCACACCTGTATATCAGTCGCTTTTGATCCGTCATTTGCATTTTATCTTGATTCGTCTCTTCGCATAAATTGGCTATCTCAGCCGACTGCACTCTGTGACGTACATCTTTTTCGCCTTATTACCTAAACAACGACTGATGCGGTACTTCTGATCTGAAAGCTCCAATCTAGGAAAAACAATCGTATACTTTATCTTGACAGTGCAGATATTGACAGTAGCCTTTGGTTTAGGCCCGGCATCCGTACCGTCAGTTCTGTCCTGATTACCTTGCCAGTATTGAGTTGCGCGCTCATTGTCCCAGCACCTTGCGCCTTCATTTTACTGGTGTCTGCTATGGTGATAATGATCGGGTCCGTTAGTGGGTCGCAACTCAAAAATTCCTCTCTGTCGATACACATGTGACTGCTTGCCCCCACTATCCATAGACCATACTGCTGACGTCCGACTTGAAACGAAAGAAATGCTCTCTCTTCACCAGATCGCTCTTTCTTCACTTGTACAGCTTTGCAATCTTGACGATTGTGTCGATAAGTCTTACATCGGTAGAATCTTCCCAAGTATTTTCCTTCTTTTGGACATTATCTCCCTGCATGTCGGCGTGGCCCTTTTTCGAACCAGGAAAAAGGCGTACTTTTAGTGTGACTTTTTGGTGTTCCATTCTCTTCAATCTATCGTACTCCCGTTTCATCTTTACCTTAGCGTGAAACAGTCTCAATCCGGGCATGTTCTTAGTTATCTTGACGATGGGGTCATAGTATCTAATTCGACTACCCAAAAGAGTGACCAAATTGGGTGAGATCTCTCATCCGGCAGCTTGCTTTATCATACGTAGATCGTCAAATATTGAAAAGGGGTCCGTGATGCTACCTTCCATGGCCGACTTAAACTCCTGTTTTTGTCCTAACAGCTGCACACGATTGTGCCTACTTTGACGCAGGAAGAAAGTAATAGTATGTCCCGTGCTTATGCCGTTGTCTTCGCCGTGCAAACCATTGGATGAAGATTTGTGCTGATCATTGTTGACACAATCGTTAAGAAATTAGGTTCGTTTACATTCCAAGTTAACACGGTAGCGACTCCTTTTTCCGAGGCCTTCATAGTATCTAGATCGTAAAAGGGCACTGCAATTAATGCTTCAGTATCAATTCACCTACACTGACAAGAGTGTAAGTAGTGCCGCGCGTCACTTCACGTACAATGTACGTGTAGAGGAAGGCTAGGTAATTAATAGCGTGTTCAATAGGAGCAGAAGGTAAATTTGTATTAATTGTAATCAAGTTCTAAATACATGTGCCTACGTTTAAGATTCACTTGATTATGTTTATCTACAAAAGTGTGTGCTGCAGTCTTACTCAACACTCATTGCGCGCGTCCATCCTTTGTTGGACTGCCAAAGCTGGCTGATAAGATGGATCTAAATGTTATACCTTTTGTTAATATTTCACGAACATTACCAACCTAAATGATTTTAGTAAAATTTACGAAGATCAAAGTTTTTACATTTATCAGGCTTACCTCGTTGCATCTATACTCTATTAAATCTCTTTTTTTACAGCCACATCCTAGCGTTGAACTTCCACACGAAGTAGATATCTTGACGATGTATGTCTCCCGCGTCCGGCGTAGTTGGGCTCATAAATCTTTTTAGGTTTGGCAACAGCCATGGAAGATTAAGGTGGGAACGCTTAAAAGAAGGTAAATTGGAAATTGAATCGTTATTTAGCTAGGTCCTTTTTCGTCTCGTTGTACTACCCTGAGACTAGCGATATCGACTCTGCAATAGTCAACCCTGTCGTTACAAACGTACTTTCTCAGTGTCGGCCATGCCATGTGGTCATTAGTATCTGTAGCCAACAACATTACCAATACCAAGCCGTTAACCGACATACAGCTTCTACGGGGTATGTTGTAGCAATCCGGCGATCAAAAAGAGGATGGAGAGCACAATTTTTTTTGGAGACAAGCTCGTCGTTTCATCAAATACCTCCCAATCCAATCGCTAAAAATGTACATTTGTAGCAGCAGGCGTATTGACGGAAATTAAAGGCTCGTTCTCAGTTTTCTTCGACAAAGATTTGACTTTTAATCAGTTAGTAGCGATATAAAGGGGCGAGGCTATTCCGAACTTTTATTTTGCTGTTCCGTACTGCAAACGTCGTCAAACATTTTTTCAAAGAGCTAAATAGCTAATTAATTTAATTGTGTCTGTGTTATGCTACTTATAGAAAGTAAGAGGTGCAAAGATTAAAGAGCTTCCATTGACTGGATTTAGTGCTGAGCCTTACGGACGGGTTGAACATCTCCAATTGGAAGATTTTTCATGTCCGAATTTATCTATAAAGCACCAAGTGTTGCTTAATCGTCTAGCTGACCCTAGTGTGATGACACCTGCGCCAGACAGTATACCAAAGCTAGTGATCCAGCATAAGCGAGCTGCTACTACCCGGATGAAACTCTGATCGACATTGCAGTAATTTTAATTGACGTACTGGCGGACACCATCGTACAACTTTTCTCGGTGTTTGGCTCGCGTTTGTCCTGGCCATCATCTTCGGCCTCGTGCTCGTCAACGCCGACCATACAACGTACCAGGGCTAAACTCAGCCGTGGGCATCACTTTCATGATGATGCTGTTGCAAGGATACGTGACGAACGTTGCTTGTCTTCCCTTCACCCGGCGGGAACGAGCCGTCTACTGCCGCGAGTTTGACGCGCAGACGTACAACATTCTTTGTTACTTCCTCGGCATTACGGTCGTCGAGATCCCCAACGTCTTTAGCAGCAATCTCCTCTTCAACATCATCTTCTATCCTCTACTCGGCATCTGGTCCCTTAGCACGGCTGTGCTTAACTGACTCTACTTCTCCATCTACGTGCTCATGTAGACTATCCTGGACCAGCTGCTCGTCCTTTTGCTGTCCAGTGGCGAAGTCGTTGCCGTTGTAGGCGTTCTCTTTAACGTCATGTTCCTGCTTTTTGCTGAGTTCAACCCGCCTGCTGCTGCCATCCCGGACCGTTACCGATGGCTCTGTGACGTCACTTATCAGCGCTATTCCTTCTCGATCCTCGCCTCGCTCGTGTTTGGCAACTGTCCTGAAGATCTGGTGAATGATGAGGTTACGAAGGGGTACATCAACCTGCTTTCGGAACTCGCATGTTAACCCCTACGGAATGCACGGCCGTCAATGTGTTACACGACGTTCAAAAACTAAATGGACGACACTTTCAGCATGAAACTCAGCGACTTGTGGACTGACGGTTGCTCCGTCTTGGTCTTCCTCGCGGTCTTTCGGGTACTGACGCTGCTGGTGCTGTGCTACGTGAACCACAGAGGCGCTAGAGCGGGTTTGTAATAATTTATGAATGGTGGTAAAGGTCGTGGTGGTAGTTTACAAATGGAAGGGTAGATGTAACTACAACGTCTCATTTATCAAGATCTTACAAAACAGTAAACTGGGTTGCAGTAACAATGTACTACGCAAGAAGAAAGACTTTACATACTGAGGTCTTCGATTCGATCGTTGTGCTGGGGATATTAATAGGAGCAAGATATGCCCGTCGGGGTACAGTAGTGTTTAGATAAGGAACGCGTAATTCGGAGCGTTTCAATTACTAAGGATAATAATGGCTGGACCTGGGTTCAACATCAAAGCCAATAGAGCCCTGCTGCGTGTGCTGTTAACTTTGGTGTGGTCAGCTGCACCATACGAGTCAATTGAAGCAAGTGTTAAGGTTGGCATACAGGTAAGTTGTAACAGGGCTCTCTGTGTTTGGGTGCCGTAAAACTTCACGTACACTAGTCTGTGCAGACGAAGCTATTCTACTTGACGCCTAAGCTGAGTGAAGGGCAAAAAAGAGCTGTATTTAATTTAGTTGAGCTATCAATATAACTTCAGTCTTTATCATTATCTGACTGTGTTAAATACGTCGTCGCATGACGACAACCCGATCACCATACATTGCGCGCGTCCTTTATCTGACTGTGTTAAACTACGTCGTCGCATGACGAAAACCTGCTCACCACTCATTGCGCGCGTCCAGCGGCGATTAGTGGTAATCTGTGGTTGACTTGTCTTTTGTCAACCGATCTTGGAGCAGCGCATCAATAATATCAAAGGAGAATAATAATCCTCCAACAACATCCATCTCGGATAATATTGGTAGGAAATTGTCACGCTAGACAATCTCCATATTGACGCCGTTGGTGTCAAAATCACGTAACGGGTTACTCCGTTAAATCGCCCCCCCTAACCATCAATCACTCGTACGTTAATCAGAATTGATTGGGACAGGGTGACCACCATTGGATCACTCTGGTAAAGGGAGCACTTGTTAATCAAATTCCATGCATTTGCCAATCCAATGCATGGTTTCAAAAACCACGCGAGTCGCTACTGCAGCAGCAAGAAGAGCGGCTGCACGCATGCGTGTGGCCGCGGAAAGTGCCTCTCATGCCTCAGCAGCAGGCGATTCGTCGCCTGTTGTCGTGAATCCTCCATGTGGTGAGTCACCACGTGCGACAGGTACTTCCGCTGCGTCGGCAGCGGACACCACAAGTCGTAATCAAGATGAGTCTGAGATAGAGCTCATCAATTCTGGCGAGTTGCATGATGTATCCGACTCAAAGCCGGCGCCTCCTGCCTCCGTTCGTCGTATTGCTCGACGATACCAAGGACATCAACAATCAGCTGGATACGAGGCTCCCAGCTGTCCCGCGCCGGTGTATAGCCGTTCCAGAGGACGAGTTTACTTGTCATGACGCCGTTCACGTCGCGGTGGTTCAAAATACGCTCCATTAGAAAGCGTTGACCAACGCCTGAGTCCACCAAAGGATGTGGTGGCGGCGGGAACACCTGATCCGGCTCGAGGGTAGGATCAACTTGATGTTCAGGAACTGATCCTTGTCACGGAACAGTTGCACGATGACCTGTCTCATGAACGAATTCGGCGTTATGAGCTTCAGGATCTTGTAAGGGATGATTACAATTTCTGAGCGCACGAACGTTCGGACGATCGTGCCGCGTTTGCGCTCGCGCAACTTGATAACGAACGTTCGACTCGTTCTCTTCGTGACGAGCTGACTGTAGCTCGTCGAGACATCGCTCAACTGCGTGAACAGGTTGCTTCGCTATTCGAACAGACTGGCTCGTTGAAATGGGACCAATCGAAGGTGGTCTCGGCTCTCGACCGCGGAGGTGTTCTTTGCATCTCGAAACGTGCTCGTACTGATTGTACGAGCGGAGACAACCAACGTAAAACTTAGGATGCGTACACATCCTGCAAGGCAGTTCAATCTAGTATGCGTTACCCATTCGGCGCAACACACGAAATGGACCGATATGCTTGGGCAGTAGTTTACTGCGGCCCACGTTCGTCAATGCGTGTTTCGGTAGATTTTTGTTGGTAGTGAACCTAAGTCTCCTTCGTCAAATGAAAGAACATTTGCACTGCCATGTTTGTCTGCGTCTCTTTTCTGCCTGTCTAGTGCATCTGAAATAGAATCTTGATCGAAGCGGACAACCGCTACGCAGGCCATCAGAAATGCCTCTGCTGATTCATCCTTGTCAACAGCAGTACCCTTCGTGTGCACAGCTGAAAGAACGTAGTCTTCACCAGTGAGGGCGCCATCGTCCTCACTGTGGCATTCATTGGCGATGCTGAATATACCAATATTTTTGTCATCATCATCATCGGTTTCGACGTAATCGACAGCGGCATCCATCACGTCGACACCATCGTCGACGGGTGATGAGCAAAAATTAGATCGGTTTTGATTCGAGCGAGTCCAGTCCCCCCCCCTAAACTAGAATCACACTCTAAGAAGTCGGGTGAACGTGGATGGCGTAGGCCATTCACGAAGAAGGTGTACTTGCTGTAGACGCGTATACCGAGTTGTTGATGGTGAATTCCGCCCTCGGCAAGAACTCACTCCAACTCGTAAACGTGCGGACATACCCTCGAAGTATCTCTTCGAGGACGCGGTTGACGCATTTTGTTTGGCCATCTGTTTCGATATGGTTAAAAGTTGACATCTACAAACGTGTCCCAAGTGAACGGAACACGGATTGCCAGAACTCCGCTGTGAAGCGGGGGTCCCTATCAGACACGAGCTCACGGGGTACCCGTGAAGTCGGAAGATAGTATCGATGAAGACACGAGCACAGCCCTGGGCTGTGATTGACTCTGGTACAGCAAAAAGATGTTCCATCTTGCGGAACCGATCAACAAACACAAGAATACCTGTATTTTTGTTGAACGTCTTTACGAAACCCAAAAACGTAGTCCATCGATACGGCCTGCCGACACTCTGCCGGAATCGAAAGAGGCTGTAAGGGTGCACGGAATGACAAACTAGGCTTCACCCGTTGACAAACTTCGCAAGCGCGAATGTATTTCCGCACAAACTCACACTGGCGGGGCCAGTAGAAGTCACGACTCACCATGAGGTAAGTCTTTTCTCTACCGCGATTCCCACTTGTTGGGGCATCGTGACACTTATACATGATGCGCATCGCAAATCATTGTGATCGGGAATGACGACAGGTGGTGTCGTCCTTGATTGCTGTATAGCACAGCAGTCCATCACGAACAGAATACTGTTCGGCTGCAGAGCGGTATTGTGACGTCAAGCTTTTCAAATCTTGACTGCATGGATTGGCTACATAATCCGTTTACCGCTGGAAAGACTTATCTTCTGTGTTTTCTTTTCGCACGTCGTCGAGAAGTTTCGACGACGGAACGCTCACTGTTAGTGTCGCGACAGTGGGATCACCCCTACTGATGGGTTGAGCAGTCTGCTCGAAATCGAGCTTACGCGAAAGAGCATGAGCGACGACATTTAGTCGCCCTGGTTACACTCGGCGGAGAAGTTGTACTCCGCGAATAAAGACATCCACCTCGCCATTCGTTACGAGAGATTTGGACTGTTTACAGCCGTTCGTAACGACGTATGGTCGGTATGAACGATGGAGGGCCTATCTCCTAAGAGATAATCCTGAATCTTGGCCAGTGCATGTTTCATGGCAAGGAGTTCATTGTCATGCACCGTGTAATTACGCTCAGCTGATTGCAGCTGACGCGATTAGTAACTGACGACACGCTCAATGCCGTGTGAGTAGCACTGCATTAACGCGCAGTCGATTGGAATATCGCTGGCGTCACAGACCACATGAAGTGGTCTGTCCTGGTCTGCAATTGCCAACACAGGCGATTGTATCATTCTTTTCTTGATGACTTCAAAAGAGTGCTGACACTCAGCGCTCCATGACCACCTCTCGGTTTTCTTTAGCAGAAGAGAGAGATGTACGGTCATCTCGGCATAGTTGCGCGAGTACTTGTGCAAGTACGCCGCCAAGCCAAGGCATTTTCGAGGTCTCTTGACGTCGACTGGCACAGGCCAGTCGCTAAGCGCCTTGATCTTTTCCGGATCAGGGCGTACACCGTGTTTGCCCACGATGCAGCCAAGAAGTGGTATTTCGTTCGCTGCGAATATACGCTTCTTGAGGTTCGCGATCAACTTGTGCTCTAGCACAAGTGTAAAAACCTTCCGGAAGTGGATTCTATGAACCTCCACGTCCGTCTTTCCATCCATAGCCCGGCTATGGACGAAGACATCGTCAAATTAACTCGGTGTAAAATCGCGCACCGATCACAACAGATTTATAACACATCTGTTTAACGTTTCGGGGGCGCCACTTGGCCCCTGTGGCACCACTAGCCACTCCCAGAGCATACCACTGGGGTTTTTAACTGCCGTGTACGGGACGAACTGTTTACGCATAAGGATCTGATAGAATCCATCCATCAGATCCATGGACGAGAAAATATTACTTTTTGCCATACCATCCGTGATGACATCGTTTGAGCCGGTACCGTTGCAGCGTTCAGTTTGTTGAACGCGTGCACTATCCGCCACCCTCCTGTGTCCTTTCGCACACAGACGTTCGGAGAGCTGGTGGGGATGTTGATTCCCTCACTTGACCAGCCGCTAAACGATCGGCAAAGAATCTGTCGATCGCAAGTACTTGTTCACGAGGCAGTGGCCACTGCTTCATGACACAGTATTTCGAACCGGGCTTCAGTTCGATCTCAAGCCGAGTGCCTTTGGCTTTTGGCAGCTCGCATGGCACGTCTTCAGGGAAAACATCCCTAAATTCTACCAAATCCTAGTACAAAGAATTTGTAAACAAAGACTCCTAAGGTTGAGACGTGTATCGCTCAATCCGAGTCTACTCATCGGGGACACTCTAGTCCATAGATGAGCTACTGAGAACCCGTTCGTTCTCAGCAAACACTTGTACCGACCGAATATCGGCGACGTACTCGGCCTCTGTGACGAGTTCGCAGATCTGCTTGATCTTGTCACTACGCAGATCTCGCAAAAATCTTTCAGATTCTAGCGCTCGGCAACTTGACTACCTCTGAAGCTGACTACGGAGGCGTAACCAGATCAAGTTTATAAGCGCCTACACTTGATCCGTCATTTACTAAGACATTTACTGAATCGGTCATTTCCTGAGAAAACACATCCGCAGGTGTTTGGGGATCCACACCCTCAACATAACTCTCTCCGGAGTTATCACTCTCAAGAACACTGGAACTTTCTTCCAGTACGCGTACTGACTGCAGGTGTACTACCACAGTCACGTCCTCTTTGATCGACTCTCTTTCAGTCGAGAGGGCTTGCTCTACGACCGACTCTCTGATAGTCGATCTCGCTTCAATATGTTGTTCTTCCTGAACAATACTAATTTCTCTTCTTGGATGCACATTTATTGGTGTGCATCCGTGTTCCAGTCCACTTAATCTATTCGAGTGGTGAACCTCCGGCGCAGCCTGTGTCTCTACGCAGGTGTCGGAAGATGGTTCCACAGTGTAGTGGTCTTCTACACTGTGATCTTTTGCAATCGTACTAACGACCGTATGACAAGTGAGGCCATCGCAATCACTCGTAGTACATTTACACACTTGTGGACGCTCCAAGACGTTCATCAGATGGCCGTCTGGTGACCAAACGGCAGGCTTCTTCATGGATCGATTCTGCCAGCTGACTAATGGCTGGTGTTTTCTAAGCAATGGCAGACCAAGGATGACATCAAATTTGTCATCCAAATCTAATACGATAAAGTCATCATCGTACTGCTTTCCTTCTAGCGTGTAGTAGATTCCCACTACACGTTTGTTCACTGTTACGGACGCGCCTGTAGCAAGACACACCGTCATCCTCGTTGGAGGGAACTCTAGCTCACCCTGGTTGAGCCTACTATCCCCTAGCGACTGGCGTCGAATAAAACTGTTCAACGCCCCACAGTCAACTAGGGCGCGAAGTGACATTCCGCTTGTCACTTCGATCTTCAAAGTGATGACGGACTCCTCATCACTAAGGGCAGTAACACACAGAGACTGCGTGATGGGAGCAATCTTCGTCAAGAATCCTGAAATTTCTCTTGACGTTGCTGGATCAGCAGGGTGCTCCGCCCCTAGAAACCCTGACCGCTTTTTGGCGGTCTAACTTGTTGTTGCGGGAACCCGACATGGTCGGACCCATGCCTCAGACCCTTCCTTGACCAACGGCGGTCATCACGTCCTGTCTTAGGACGAGATGCGTTGCTTGGGACACTACACTCATGAGCGTAGTGTCCAATCTTCTGACAGCGATGGCATCTTGCCGTTCGCTTGTGACTCAAAGAGCGAGAATTCTCGTTCTCGATGTAACAGAGGCCCATTGGTTCGGGACCTCCTTTTTCCTGTCGTCTTGTCGGACGATAGTTTGATACGTTAGCCTGAGACTGTCTCAGGCTGAAGTCTTCTTGTTCCGCATACGCTATCGCCATTTCCAGCGTGTGAAAGTCCTCTCGAAACATGTAGTTCTTCACCGGCCTATCCACAAGGCCGTAGATGAACACGTTGATGAGCGTGTGCTCAACAACAGGATATCCGTGACGCTACTAGAAAGGTAGCGCAGGTGTTGTGCGTAAGCGTGCATGTCACGCTTATCTTGCTTTAGCCTCAAGAGTGCAGAGCGTGCTCTGTACTCGGCTATCGGTGGCTCAAACGTCTCTTTGAGCCGAGACTTCAAGATCTCCAACGACTTAAACACGTTTGGGTCGTGAAGCTTGAGCCCCAAAGCCCAAGCATTTGCTCGTCCTGTCAAATTTGACTGGCGAAGGTGACTTGCTTTTCGTTGCCCTCGATGTGACGGGCACTTATGGCGTCGTCTAACTCGACGAACCATCTCAAAAGGGAATCTTCATCTGTTCCCTTGTACCTTGAGATATCTATCTGTGAGGTTTCGGGTCGACGCATGTGCGTCGGCCCGCCCATCGGCTGATGAGAGCCTTGCTGATGTAGCAAGGCAATCTTCTGTCTTTCGACGGCAATTCTCCTTGTAGGAACTTGTTGATAGCAGCATGTTGCTGGTCTCTGCTAAGAGACTCCAACATACCACTGATGGCGGGTTCATTCATGAGCACACTCATGCGGCCAACTACATACCATTCTGAGTCACTCAGATGAGAGTAGCCTTCAAGTGTGACGTGAAAGCTATCGTCTTCTACGTCCAACATTATCAGGGGAATTGGACACTAAGTAGTCGTTGGACGGACTACTAAGTGCTACCAGGTGTAACGGGGCACCCTTTGTTTGAGGTGCCGCGAAACTTCACGAACAATAGTCCGTGCAGAGGAAGCTAGATGACCTAAACAGCTCTTTTGAGAAAAGGTAAAAAAAGCCCGCATATAATGAAGTTAAGCTATCAATATAACTTCAGCCTTTATCTAACTTTATTGAACTACGTCGTCGTATGACGACAATCTGCTCACCACTCACTGCTCGCGTCTAGCAGCGATTGGTGGTAATCTGTGGTTGACATGTCTTTTGTCAACCAATCTTGGAGCAGTGCATAAATTTTAATAAAGGAGGATAATTTTCCTTCGATGCAATCCATCTCGGATAGAATTGGTAGGGAATTGTCATGCTAGACAATCTCCATTATGACACCGTTTGGTGTCAATAGCATGTAACGGGCTACTTCGTTACATGTGAACTTCACCTACCTGCATCAAGAAGCTGGAGCTGCTGGTGCCGAGTCTATAATTCTTCGTAGCGTGACGAGCGCAGTATTTCTTCTGCTTCTTCGTTAACACATTAAGAATGATTCGATCTCCTCTGACACTTGGTAATAATACCGTGGATGTTGAACGACTAGTGGAGAGACGACGCGAGAGCGCAACACGCTCATTTCCTTAGTATCAGTGCTGCAGCAGGCCGGTGTGTAGCGGTGTGCTCTAATCTAGTCGCTAGCACAAGTCCACATAAAGAGAGTGTAGATGCTGTAACATACTCTTTAAACATGCTTATAAGTGTATCTCCGGCTGGCATGTATGCACTTTGTTAACGACGGCTGATGCTGCCTCAAGCTGGTGCTTTTTTAACATACAATACGTGCGTGATCGCTTGATGTGCGTACAATTTCAAGTTACTACTTTAGTAGGTGAGTGATTTAACTGGCATCTGCAAGTTATGGCGACGTCTTACCCGATATGGCGCAAGATGTCGGAATCGAAATTGTAATAACAGCATGTCACAGTCGCTACTTGTCATTAAAGCCACTTCGTGCACAAGCTCAACCAGCAGCGATAAATCAATTCAGGTTTTACATGCAGGTACACGTCTTAGCCCCTGATAACGCTTACAAGTAGGCGATTGATCCCGATCTGAGCTGTATTACTGTCTCGCTGGCACCGCGAGAGCACATTTACCTTAGAAATATTGCTGAAAGGTCAAGATGATTCAGCATGCAAGTCATAGCTACAGTAGTTAGTATATCGTCAAAACAGACCCAAACAGGAACCTTCAACTTGGAAGTACTCCCTACTCACTCGTTCGTCCATGATGCACTCACTTCACCCGTCTGCAGTGCCAGTGATGGACAGTGCAACTTCTAGAACATGCGTGTCTTCTAGGCTTTTCTCACGCCATAAATGCAGCATCTCATACCTTCGACGGATCGATTCGGACAAAAGATCAAGAAGCATCGATGGATTCAGAGGGTAGCACTTGGATCCTAAAAGAATATAGTTATCTAGCTACGGGACAATGTGCACCTTGCCGTTGATAAATGCGACGCTTGCGCATCCACGTTGGACATCTACCATTGCTTTTCACACCCTCGCCAATGAGTAGCATGTTGAGATGTGGCCGGCACTGATACTTTCACTTGGGTATCCCATCCAATGTCTGCATAGAAAGAGGGACTCAACCACGCATGGCTGTTATGACGAATTTGACGTGCACATGGCAGCTCTACCTCGAACACGAATCATGGCAAGCACTTGTCGTGACATTTATCGACAAAGGACATTTAAATAACTAGAAAAACGGTCTGGTCGTCATTGGTCTGGCTGTCGTTAGGATGGTCTAAGCCCAGCGATAGCGCACGTGGATGTTTGGCCGTTGCCACACGACCTTGAATATGACTTGATTTTTATGAGGTCATCGATCGATGGAGTCATGGTCTCGAGGACATCATATCGGCTGAGCATTTGTGTTTGTGGATGCAAGGAGGAGCGATAGTACAATGATGAGGCACTCGAGAGTTTCCAAGTTGCACCACAACGACGCCGACTGACCCTTGCGGGGGCGTCGAAGCGAGTCATCAATGTCACAAGAGGAGCTCGTAATATAAAGAACGGATGATACAAGGGCCAGTTTGTAAACTTTTGCTGGGGGTTAAAAATGCAAGCAGCTACAACAACGATCTCAGCCTCCTCGCAGTGCTGGACCGTTGTATTGTCTATGGATGGGCGCTCACGCATCAGCTCAAAGGTGAGATGTTTGCCGCCCTTCGTCAGCAATCTGTTGACGTGACTGACGCGCCGAGTTCGGTCAATTCGCGTGACCTCCGTTTTTGTACGCCTCTCGACGTTTCATCTCCTCGAGCTTCTTCTTTTGCTTGAGCCAGTTCTTGTGGTCGAGTTTCTTCTTTTGCTTGAGCCAGTTCTTGTGGTCGAGTTTCTTCTTTTGCTTGAGCCAGTTCTTGTGGTCGAGCTTCTTCTTTTGCTTGAGCCAGTTCTTGTGGTCGAGTTTCTTCTTTTGCTTGAGCCAGTTCTTTTTCTGTTGGTCAGCGTGTTTCTTCTTCTGAGCGTTCCACTTCTTGCGTTGTCGAAGGCGATTTTCCTTTCGCCAATCCTTGACCTCGCCAGACTTGCCCTTCTTCTTGTCCTTCCTGTGGTGACGCTTCTCCCAGTCATCGTCGTCGTCGTCGTTGTCGTAGGCGCGCAATTGACGGGCAGCGTGACGTTCCTGCTGAGCTGACAAGCGGTTCGGCCAAAGTCACCATCAGCGGTAGATCCTTGTCGTCGCTTACAAGAAATCGTTCGGTCTTTTCAGCGACATTGGTCTGGTGCTGGGCCTCGCTAGACGTCTGCAGGGGCGAGAGGTTGACCGCATCGGGGACAGCTTGAAGTCCGTAAGCACTTGCAGCTAGAGCTGCAGCGATCACGTGTGCAACGTAGTGGAGACGCATTCTTGGATGAAGAAAAGCGCGAGGTCTTGGTCAAATTGAAGTGCTGTTGTTGTTGGTGGCCGGCAATTGAGTTGTGAGAGAAAGTGGAGACGTCGCGAGTGGCAGAAGTTCTTGCAGATACCGTGATGACAGGCACGGATTCCGACCAGGTTGGATATTATGCAATGCTTGACGAGACCCAACGTGTTGAACCGGCTTTAGATACGACACAAGGGCAAACGTTGAGACACTCCTTTATCGCAAAACATACGATATCAAAGCTCTTTGAAGTTGCAAACTACATTCGCGTCAATTGGGTTCAGAAACTTGCACCGAATCTGGGAAATTCTATGCCAGGATAGCACAATGTAAACTCTTAGCCTATCTGGCCAGACGGCACCTCGGAACGGATTGGTGGCTACGCAAATCAGTTGTGCTCTCATCCGGACGAGAGAAGTTGAAGTCTTTCATAAATGCGAAACAGCACACACCGAAAAACGGTGAGGTCCAGCTCGCCAGATATATCCACGTAAGTGTGTGCGGGGAGCATAGTCTAGTATAAAGCCATGTGAACGCATTGTTTTCGTCAGTTCCGATGTCTCGGTAAGAAAAACAAGCGTTGCGGTTTCTAATCGAGAAGAACACCATAGCTAGCAGATGGGGACGCGACAGGAAAATAAGGCAGCTGATGTTAAGTTTGTAGTTGTTGATGAAGGTAAGGTTCCTTGGGATACTTTTGAAGAAAAACATTGTTCAAGATGGGTACGTTACTCTACACTACACGGGAATACAAGTTAGGGGGCAACCAGCTGCTACTGGGAAGAGATGTCGTCGACCAAGGATATCCCATTTAAATGCGGCACTCGCCAAGCACTGGCGTCACTGTGTCAGTCAGAAACGGCGTCGACGTCGGTTCGCACGTGTTGGTAGGTGCGTGGACGTCCATTGCCCGACGTCACTGACCAGAAATCTAGCAAGACCAGCCAAAATGGACCGGTCGTCGTCTGCGGACGTCTGGACCGAACGAGAGGAGTCCATAGCAATGTTGGCGGCTCAATCGGCCATCTTGTTAAAATGCGGTAGTGGTGTGTCCAGCTCAGTACGCCGACGCTGAAAGAACACGGGACCGCGGAGACGCACAACCGTCAAATTGCTGAACCAAAGCCCGAAGCTGCGTGACCCCACTTAGAAATGTTCTGGTAATGATCGCCCGTAAAGTCGCTAAGGATAGGTAGCACCCTCCTCAAGTCGGACCCGGTGGCGAGCGCACCGTATAGCGTGCATCGTAGAAAGAGCCATTAGCCGCCAAAGCGTTTGAGGCAACATTGATGTCCTGTTCGTAGCACGCACACCATCACGCGCTTTACATCTTGTGTGTTGTAGCTGCACTGTAGCCGTAGGGCCGGTTCTGGATGCATGTCCCAGATCGTACGCAGCAAGGATGGTCAACGATTTACGGCAGAGACACTACGATAGCCCGCCGTCGCAAGCATTGGGATCGCCTTCCGGAATGCCTGAAATTGTGACTGTCAGTCATTTCGCCTATCCAGCTTCCGCAGAACAATATGGTACTGAACCCTAAAGCTCACGGCAGGAACCACGTGCGTTGGACAGGTGCTGCGCGCGTCACAGCTTCAGTGAGTCCGCATTGACTTTACTTACCAAAATCAAGAAGCAGGACATGATTGTGCCATGCTCTTGATTCGCGACAACGGCGCGCTCTAGATTCCTTCTTTTCGTTCGTTAGCTGGTCAAGAACGGTCCGATCTCCCCTTCTACTGTTAATACAGTGGCTGATTGTAGACTAGCGGTGAGGACGGCGCTAGGGCGCGACCCACTTATCTTCTGTAGCGAGCCAACGTATAGGAAGCGGTCTACTCTATTTGGTCACACATGACTGTTTAAAGAAAGTGAAGATGCCGTAATTTGGCACTCGAAACATGCTCGTGAGTGTAATTTCGGCCGGCACTGCCCTCACATTCTGCACATTGTTGACGACGGCTGACGCTGCGTCAAGCTGCTTCTTCTCCCAGCTTATGGAATCTACATGATCGCCTCCACGTCGGTCCAGTGTGACTCGAACGGATTGAATCTGCTTTGGGCACGCGAATTTTCGTCAAGCGTGGCATGCCATTTGTCACCTTTTTGTAGTACGATTAACGTGTGTTGTTGAGTGACGAGTCGGTACCTTTGTAAGAAATCGCCTCATACAAGTTGGTCAGAACGGCGTCCTATCCAACATGACTCTACATGTCGGGATTGAAATCGAAGTAGCAGCATTTTATTGCCGCTCTTCCTAAAGAAGACTCGCACGAGCTCGATCGTCAAGCGAGTGCTTATGTAGCTTTTTTAATAGGTGATTCTGTGTCGCAGTTCCCTGATGCCGTTATTGAGTGATTTGTTCTCTATCGCTGGTTATGCTAAAATGCACTTCAAGGATACTGTTGCAAGGACTAGTTTATCTGGCACAGGAGTCATGTTTGCAGTAGAATTCACACGTATGCGTCCAGCCCGTAGCTGGTCGTACCTGCCTGTTCTACTGTACTGGTACAAGTGTGACTATGTCCATCGATCAGAAGAATGCTCCACACCGTGTTTAGTCACGCTCACAACGCATGAACGTCGTGCTTACAAGTGGTAGCTTCTCAACTGTTAATACCTACCATGCACTCAGTTCATTCTTCTACGTTGCCAGTAACGTAGATGACCTACTGTCGAACCAGCACCCAATGATGTCTTGGCCTGAAGCATCTCAAACGTTGCCAAAAATTGAATCGACTGACTCGGGCAGCATCGATCGACGTAGGCAGCAACACAGGGTGCAATAAAGACAGTCGTTCTGGACATTGTACCATGCGCACCTCACCTGTAACGGGGTAGCTCGTTACATGATATTGACACCAAATGGTGTCAATAGGGATAAGACCAGGCGGACCATCTCCTGCCAATACTACCCGAGATATGTAAGGTTAGAGGAATATTATCCCCTGGGATGATACTCACGTGCTGCTCGAAGATTGATTGAAATGACGATTGAACCAAGGTTACTACCAATCGCTACTAGAACAGCGTAATGTGTGGTGAGCAGGTTGCCGTCATGCGACAATATAAATTAGCATAGTTAAATTAAGACAAAAGTTGCAATAATAGCTTAACCATGTGTAACACAGCTCACTTTTTACCTTTTAATTTAAACTAACAGTTAAATCAAATCGCCAGGTGTTTTTACTTGCAAGCAATAAAAAAATTTAACAATAGATCAATTGATTGCAGATGTCGTCACAATAAATAGTACGTTAGATATTTTTTGGTGCAATTGATCGTCAAATTCGAATTAAAATATTTTGCCGGATCACAAACATAGGAGATTGTATTTATTCATAATGATTTCATACTTCTTCGCTACGAAATAATTTTTAGCGACATCAAATGTTAAAAATAAGCAAACATTTCAGACAATGTAAGCTAAATCAATAGTAAACGGTCAAACGAACTGACAACAAAAAAAATCCTGGTGCTCAATTAGTATAATTGAACTGTTTTCCTTCGAAAAATTAAATAAAATTAAACAGTAAATCCACGAGTAGATAACTCTCCTCTGCACGTACGAGTGTCCGTGAAGTTTCGTGGCATCTAGACAAAAGGTGCCCCGTTACACCTGGTAACACTTCGTTGTCCGGCCAACATGATCATTTCGGAGGTAGAAGACGATAGCTTTCACGTCACACGTGAAGGCTACTCCCATCTGAGTGACTCCGAACGGCATGTAGCTGGCCGCATGAGTGTGCTCGTGAGTGAACCCGCCATCAGTGGTATGTTGGAGTCTCTTAGCAGAGACTAGCAACATGCTGCTATCAACAAGTTCCTACAAGGAGAATTGCCGTCGAAAGACAGAAGATTGCCTTGCTACATCAGCAAGGCTCTCATCAGCCGATGGGCGGGCCGACGCACATGCGTCGACCCGAAACCTCACAGATAGATATCTCAAGGTACAAGGGAACAGATGAAGATTCCCTTTTGAGATGGTTCGTCGAGTTAGACGACTCCATAAGGGCCCGTCACATCGAGGGTGACGAGGTGCAAGTCACCTTCGCCCTGTCAAATTTGACAGGACGAGCAAATGCTTGGGCTTTGGGGCTTAAGCTTCACGACCCAAACGTGTTTAAGTCGTTGGAGACCTTGAAGTCTCGGCTCAAAGAGACGTTTGAGCCGCCGATAGCCGAGTACAGAGCACGCTCTGCACTCTTGAGGCTAAAGCAAGATAAGCGTGACATGCACGCTTACGCACAACACCTGCGCTACCTTTCTAGTAGCGTCACGGATATCCTGTTGTTGAGCACACGCTCATCAACGTGTTCATCTACGGCCTTGTGGATAGGCCGGTGAAGAACTACATGTTTCGAGAGGACTTTCACACGCTGGAAATGGCGATAGCGTATGCGGAACAAGAAGACTTCAGCCTGAGACAGTCTCAGGCTAACGTATCAAACTATCGTCCGATAAGACGACAGGAAAAAGGAGGTCCCGAACCAATGGGCCTCTGTTACATCGAGAACGAGAATTCTCGCTCTCTGAGTCACAAGCGACCGGCAAGATGCCTCGCTGTCAGAAGATTTGACACTGCGCTCATGAGTGCATGTGTCCTAAGAACTGCAGCACGTCCTAAGACAGGACGTGATGACCGCCGTTGGTCAAACAAGGGTCTGAGGCATGGGTCCGACCATGCCGGGTTCCCGCAACAACAAGTTAGACCGCCAAAAAGCGGTCAGGGTTTCTAGGGGCGGAGCACCCTGCTGATCCAGCAACGTCAAGAGAAATTTCAGGATTCTTGACGAAGATTGCTCCCATCACGCAGTCTCTGTTTGTTACTGCCCTTAGTGATGAGGAGTCCGTCATCACTTTGAAGATCGAAGTGACAAGCGGAATGTCACTTCGCGCCCTAGTTGACTGTGGGGCGTCGAACAGTTTTATTCGACGCCAGTCGCTAGGAGACAGTAGGCTCAACCAGGGTGAGCTAGAGTTCCCTCCAACGAGGATGACGGTGTGTCTTGCTACAGGCGAAACCGTAACAGTGAACAAACGTGTAGTGGGAATCTACTACACGCTAGAAGGAAAGCAGTACGATGATGACTTTATCGTATTAGATTTGGATGACAAATTTGATGTCATCCTTGGTCTGCCATGGCTTAGAAAGTACCAGGCATGGGTCAGCTGGCAGCATCGATCCATGAAGATGCCTGCCGTTAGTTCATCAATTGGCCATCTGATGAACGTCTTAGAGCGTCCACAAGCGTGTGGATGTACTACGAGTGAGTGCGATGGCCACACTTGTCATACGGTCGTTAGTACGATTGCACAAGATCACAGTGTAGAAGACCACTACACTGTGGAACTGGCTTCCTGCACCTGTGTAGAGACACAGGCTGCGCCGAATATTTACCTCTCGAAGAGATTAAGTGGACTGGAACACGGATGCACACCAATAAGAGTGCATCCAAGAAGAGAAATTAGTATTGTTCAGGAAGAACAACATATTGAAGCGAGATCGACTATCAGAGAGTCGATCGTATACCAAGCCCGATCGACTGAAAGAGAGTCGATCGAAGAGGACGTGACCATGATAGTACACGTAATGGAAGAAAGTTCCAGCGATCCTGAGAGTGATAACTCCGGAGAGAGTTATGTTGAGGGTGTGGATCCCCAACCTTCTGCGGATGTTTTCCCCATGAAATCACTGAACAGTGAATGTCTTGGTGATGACGGATCGAGTGTAGGCGCTTGTATACTTGATCTGGTTACGCTCCCGTAGTCAGCTTGAGAGATAGTCAAGTTGCCGATACTAGAATAAAAAAGATTCTTGTGTGATCTGCGTAGTGACAAGATCAAGCAGATCTGCGAACTCGTCACAGAGGCCGAGTACGTCGCCGATATTCGGTCGGTACAAGTGTTTGCTGAGAACGAACGGGTTCTCAGTAGCTCATCTATGGACGAGAGTGTCCCCGATGAGTAGACTCGGATTGAGCGATACACGTCTCAACCTTAGGTGTCTTTGTTTACAAATTCTTTGTAGTAGGATTTGGTTGAATTTTGGGATGTTTTCCCTGAAGACGTGCCATGCGAGCTGCCCAAGGACAAAGGCACTCGGCATGAGATCGAACTGAAGCCCGGTTCGAAATACTGTGTCATGAAGCAGTGGCCACTGCCTCGTGAACAAGTACTTGCGATCGACAGATTCTTTGCCGATCGTTTAGCGGCTGGTCAAGTGAGGGAATCAACATCCCCACCAGCTCTCCGAACGTCTGTGTGCGAAAGGACACAGGAGGGTGGCGGATAGTGCACGCGTTCAACAAACTGAACGCTGCAACGGTACCGGCTCAAACGATGTCATCACGGATGGTATGGCAAAAAGTAATATTTTCTCGTCCATGGATCTGATGGATGGATTCTATCAGATCCTTATGCGTAAACAGTTCGTCCCGTACACGGCAGTTAAAAACCCCAGTGGTATGCTCTGGGAGTGGCTAGTGGTGCCACAGGGGCCAAGTGGCGCCCCCGAAACGTTAAACAGATGTGTTATAAATCTGTTGTGATCGGTGCGCGATTTTACACCGAGTTAATTTGACGATGTCTTCGTCCATAGCCGGGCTATGGATGGAAAGACGGACGTGGAGGTTCATAGAATCCACTTCCGGAAGGTTTTTACACTTGTGCTAGAGCACAAGTTGATCGCGAACCTCAAGAAGCGTATATTCGCAGCGAACGAAATACCACTTCTTGGCTGCATCGTGGGCAAACACGGTGTACGCCCTGATCCGGAAAAGATCAAGGCGCTTAGCGACTGGCCTGTGCCAGTCGACGTCAAGAGACCTCGAAAATGCCTTGGCTTGGCGGCGTACTTGCACAAGTACTCGCGCAACTATGCCGAGATGACCGTACATCTCTCTCTTCTGCTAAAGAAAACCGAGAGGTGGTCATGGAGCGCTGAGTGTCAGCACTCTTTTGAAGTCATCAAGAAAAGAATGATACAATCGCCTGTGTTGGCAATTGCAGACCAGGACAGACCACTTCATATGGTCTGTGACGCCAGCGATATTCCAATCGGCTGCGCGTTGATGCGGTACGACTCAGAAGGCGTTGAGCGTGTCGTCTGTTATCAATCGCGTCAGCTGCAAGCAGCTGAGCGTAACTACCCGGTGCATGACAATGAACTCCTTGCCATGAAACATGCACTGGCTAAGTTTTGGGTATATCCCTTAGGAGATAGGCCCTTCATTGTTTATACCGACCATGTGTCATTACGCACGGCCGTAAACAGTCCACACCTCTCGAAATGAATGGGGAGGTGGATGTCTTTATTCGCGGAGTACAACTTCTCCGTCGAGTGTAACCAGGGCGACTAAATGTCGTCGCTCATGCTCTTTCGCGTAAGCTCGATTTCGAGCCGACTGCTCAACCCATCAGTAGGGGTGATCCCACTGTCGCGACACTAACAGTGAGCGTTCCGTCGTCGAAACTTCTCGACGACGTGCGAAAAGAAAACACAGAAGATAAGTCTTTCCAGCGGTAAACGGATTATGTAGCCAATCCATGCAGTCAAGATTTGAAAAGCTTGACGTCACAATACCTCTCTTCAACCGAACAGTATTCTGTTCGTGATGGACTGCTGTACTATACAGCAGTCACCGGTGACACGCCTAGCGTTGTCGTTCCGGCTCACAAATTTGCGATTGCGCATCACGTATGAGTGTCACGATGCCCCAACAAGTGGGCATCGCGGTAGAGAAAAGACTTACCTCATGGTGAGTCGTGACTTCTACTGGCCCCGCCAGTGTGAGTTTGTGCGGAAATACATTCGCGCTTGCGAAGTTTGTCAACGGGTGAAGCCTAGTTTGTCATTCCGTGCACCCTTACAGCCTCTTTCGATTCCGGCAGAGTGTTAGCAGTTCGTCTCGATGGACTTCGTTTTTGGGTTTCGTAAAGACGTTCACAAGAATACAGGTATTCTTGTGTTTGTTGATCGGTTCAGAAAGATGGAACACCTATTTGCTGTACCAGAGTCAATCACAGCCCAGGGCTGTGCTCGTGTCTTCATCGATACTATCTTCCGACTTCACGGGTACCCCGTGAGCTCGTGTCTGATAGGGACCCCTGCTTCACAGCGGAGTTTGAGGGTGTCAACTTCTACAAATACAAAATGGATTGTCAGACGGAACGCGTCAACCGCGCCTATGAAAAGATACTTCTAGGGTGTGTCCACTCGTTTACGAGTTGGAGTGAGTTCTTGCCGAGGGCGGAATTTGCCATCAACAACTGGGTGCATGCATCGACAGCACGTACACCTTTCTTCGCGAATGGCCTACGCCATTTGCATTTACACGCCTTCTAAGAGTGTGAATCTATTTTAAGGGGGGGTGGAATCGCTCGAACCAAAACCGATCTAATTCTTGCTCATCACCCGTCGACAATGGTGTCGACGTGATGGATGCCGCTGTCAATTACGTCGAAACCGATGATGATGATGACGACAATACTGGTATATTCAGCATCGCCAATGACTGCCACCGTGAGGATGATGACGCCCTGACTGGTGAGGACAACGTTCTTTCAGCAGTGCACACGAAGCGCACTGCTGTTGACAAGGATGATCAAGCAGAGGCATTTCTGCTGACTCGCGAAGTAGTTGTTCGCTTCGTTTAAATTTCTATTGCAGATTCACTAGACAGGCAGAAAAGAGACGCAGACAAACATGGATGAGCAAATGTTTTTTCATTTAATTGAGGAGATTTAGTTTTACCGTCTACAGTAAATCTACCAAAACACACAGCGACAAACGTGGGCAGCGCTAAACTACTGCCCAAGTACATCGGTCTACTTCGTGTGTTGCGCCAAATGGGCAACACATACACGATTGAACTGCCCCATAAGTTGTGTACGCATCCTACGTTTTACGTCGGTCGTCTCCGCCCGTAGTATCAGTACGAGACCATCTCGAGATGCGAAGAACACCCCCACGGTCGAGAGCCGAGACCACCTTCGAGTGGTCCCATTTCAACGAGCCAGTCTGGTCGACTAGCAAAGCGACCTGTTCACGCAGTTGAGCGATGTCTCGACGAGCTACAGCCAGCTCGTCACGAAGAGAACGAGTAGAACGTTCCTTCTCAAGTTGCGCAAGCGCAAACGCGGCACGATCGTCCAAACGATCGTGCGCTCAGGAATGGTAATCATTCCTTACAAGATCCTCCAGCTCATAACGCCGAATTCGTTCAGGAGACAGGTCATCGTGCAACTGTTCCGTGACACGGATCAGTTCCTGAACATCAAGTTGATCCTACCCTCGAGCCGGATCAGGTGTTCCCGCCGCCACCACATCCTTTGGTGGACTCAGGCGTTGGTCAACGCTTTCTAGTGGAGCGCATTTTAAGCCACCGCGACGTGAACGGCGTCATGACAAGTTACCTCGTCCTCTGGAACGGCTATACACCGGCGCGGGACAGCTGGAAGCTTCGTTTACAGCTGATTGTTGATGTCCTGGGTCTCGTAGAGCAGTATGATGAGATCCATCCTCTGCTTTCAAAGAAGGGCCGTCGGAAAACGACCTCCCCGAACGCGAGTACAGGTTGTGCAAAGTGTCAATCCCTTCGGACATCATAGAAAAGATGCGCGCCCTCCAGTAGGGATCATTAGGGAGGTAGGCCTCTCAAGGGGCACGATTCAAGTTGTCCAGGCAACTTGGACACGAATAATTTCACGAGAGACAAGTTAATCCTGGCTCTCTTGACAGTCGGTGCAACTTGTATCGCACCCCGACTAAGTTGCGCTATTCAAACCTGATGCGAGCTGCTTCAGGGTTTCCGAGCCAGGCCTCACGGCTATGCACTCAATGTTATGGATGAGGGCATCCCATCCTTGCATATAGGCCTTAACTTCTCGAACACGGCTGCCATTGTACCACCGATGTTTGAAATATGCATCGGTGAAGAACTCTTCCTCAGCACGGATAGTTTCCGTGCTGGAATCAGGTGGAAAAATCTACCTGAAATCGAACAACAAATTTTGATCTCGTTCGGTAGTCATGCCGGCCAACCGGTCCAACTCTTTGGAGGGAGGCATCCACGGAGATATTACTTGAGGAGCGTGGCGCAGGAAAGTTCGGTCCTTAGCCTCTTGATTGGTGCCAGAGTGAGCACTGACAGCAGTGGCAGCTCGATCTCTCGAGTTGCTTCTCTCTTGGTGATGCTTAGAGGCATCACCACCATCTACACGCGTCCTTTCGTCGGATGGACTTGCGCGAGGCGAGGATTCGTCAGAAGAATCGCTCAGTACGAAGATGTCGGACGTGATGCCTCCACGTTCCCCAAAGCCAGTCACCTTAGCTCTTGCAGTGTCCGCCCCGGATGATCCGGAGGCGTGAGGTGTCGCTTTCGAATCGAATACATCATGCAACACACCAGGATAGATGAGATCCATTTCAGGCTCATCTACATTGCGAGTCGCAGCACCGGCTGCAGACGCAGCGGATGCACCTGTCGCACGTAGTGACTCACCACGTTTACTGTTCTCAGCAGCAGGCGACAATTTACCTATTGCTGAGGTGTGAGATGTAATCTCTCCAAATTGCTTGGTTTCGAAACCAAGCGTTGGATCGGCAAATGAGTTGGATTTTTACCAGCGATTGCACCCTTTCCCAGAGTGATCCAACGGTGGTCACCCTGTCCCAATCTATTTTAATTCAATCAACGGTTGTAAGATGGTTAGGGGGCGTGATGTAACGGAATAGCCCGTTACATGATTTTGTCATCAAACGGTGTCGATGGGGAGATTGTCGAGCGTGAAAATCTCCTGTCGATAATATCCGAGATGGTAAATATTGAAGGAATATTATCACCTTTTTAGAAACATAATTATGTGCTGCTCAAAGATTGGTCGATAAAGATGTATCAACCAAGGTTACCACCAATCTCTGCTAGACGCGCGTAGTGAGTGGCGAGCAGGTTGTCGTCATACGACAATGTAGATTGATGTAGTTAGATGAAGACTGAAGTGATTTTGATAGCTTAGCTATATTAAACACGGTTCACCTTTTACCCTTTACTCAAACGAGTCGTTCAAGTAGATTAGCTTCCTCTGCACGCACTAGTGTACGTGAAGTTTTGCGGCATAATAATTTAGGACATGTGTAACGGGGCACCCCTCAAACCAAGGGTGTCCCGTTACACATGTACCAAATTATTATCTTAAGATCTTTCCTATCTTGTGCCTGACACCCGTCAGCCTCTATAAACCGAAAGAAATCCCACATCTCTTCAATGTGATACCATCCCGTGTGTCTAAGACACAGGGTACCGTTCCCAGTGAGTGGTAGACCACTGGAACTGGGACCGGGAGGTACTGGATCGATACCCGGTGGAGGTTCGATTACAGGGCGCCGGAGATAGGCTGACATAGTAGACGAGCAACCACGCAGAAGTGGCCGCCCTGCCAACCCGCGCATGGCGTGGGTAGTTGGGTGGGCTGGAGGCCCTACTGGCCGAAAACCTCATAGTGTAATGATGGGTGCGGATTCTGTAAGGAGTTCAAACTGATTCAGAGTACTCGCAGTTCACCCCAGGGTGTTCTGAAGGACCGCGCGGCATAAATTTTTAAGACACAGGGTACCGAGAATCATGCGATGTGTATCCCATTTAAAAGTCGCAACTACTCATCCCCATCGGTTTGTTGGACAGCCACAGTCGTGTGGTATCGGAGGTGAGTGACAAAGCAACAATTAGACTCGAGTGCTAACTTTTCCTGATTGCGAGAGCGGAGGGAGAGCGAAGGGGACAACTGACTATTGTCTTATTTTGAACTGTGATTAGTGAATCCAACCTGGGCCCGCTCGACGCTTCATAAGTTGTTCAGCTTCCCCAGAGCGAGTCATTGAGACCATATCAAAGGCTTGTAGTACCACATACGAGGAAAAACCCAAAGGTGAAGGCTGAACAACTGTTGATTAAAAGAAAATTACACAAGACTCAACTACATCGCGCAGCGCTACACCAATAGACCGGCAAAGTAGCTAGAGAGTCGCATAGAAGCTCGATAGGTTAGTTGTTTGCCGGCTTTTCGTCACCAACAGAGTTCGTCAGCCGCTTGACAGAGTCGTCCAAGCGATCGCGTCGTTTAGCAGGGACCGCCAACGGCGCACCGTTTGACGGCATCATCGACGATATGTCGGAGCTGGATGCACTTGAGCTTTCGCTTTCACCTTCAGCTTCGCGATCGCCTTTTTTCGTGTCCTTGGAATTCGAAAAGATGGACCTATCTTCTTCCAGGTTATAGAAGGCGTTTCTGATGACATTGTCGTGATTGTTGTTGTCCGTGTCACTGCTGTAGTCACTATATTCGCCGTTGTGGTAGTCGTTGTTGTGGTTGTAAGGGTTGTAGTAGCGATCGTCGAAGTCGTCGTCGGACTCGTCATAGATGCGCCTTCCCTTGGCACCTTTCTCCAGTGCGACCGACACTTCCTGGTGCCATGCTTCAGGAGGATCGACAATAGCTTGACGGCCATGAGCACCTGCAGGTAGACCAGCTGCTGCTAGGAGTGGCACGTAGTAAAGACGCATTGTTGAGTAGTGGAAATGAATGCGAGAGTTCTTGAACGTTGGAAGTCGTCCTGGGGTTCTCGACGACCGGCAAATTGAGTTTTGAGATAGAGAGGAGGAGTCCCGAGTGGCGAAAGTTCTCGCTAGTGCCATGGCGACAGGCACGGACTACGGCCAGGTTGTGTATGAGACATTTCTGGACGTGGAATAAAATTTGACGGACCAGCTTGAAATGCAGACAGGTCGGCAGGCGTTGACGGTCTCCAGTGGTGACGTAGACGACATCGAAGCTCGGCGACGCTGCAAATAAGCACCGCTTTCGTCGGACAAGATACCTCAAGACAAATCTAGAGCAGGATTCAACAGGGTCATACAATGAATACGTGAAGTTGAGCTATGTAGAGAGCGCCACGGAAAAGATTTTGTGATTGTGTAAGGTAGCTGTACCCTTATCTGACCAGTGATAGTGAAACCTATCCGGATAGAAATGAACAACACACATTAAGAATTGGTGGTGCCGAGCTCTTCTGATTCAAACATGAAGGCATGGACGCGCAACATAGGTTTCCATGACACAATGAGTCCATGTAAAGTCTTGTTGCATTTGATATACTGATAGTAAGAGCAAACGGTGACTTCATTGGGTAGAGTGGCTGGCTGATGGTATCACGACGAACTCCAGATGGACCTGACATCATTGTTTTAGCACGCATTGTTTATACCTCATCTGGTCTATGCTGCAAGTTCCGGCTCTGATGTTTTGATAGCGAGTGAATAAAAATCATACGACCATGTCGCATCCATGCTGCGGTGTTCTGTCTCGCAGAAATTGCCCCGCTACAAACACTAAGTTTTTGGGCTGAAGCCTTGTTGGCCGTTGCTGCCAAGATGGCAGGGTACGTGGCCTCCCATTTTTTGGATGAACGTGCACAAATGTGCAGGTCACTCAAGAGCATTTTGGATCCCAACACATTCGACTGCCACTCGCGTGACAGCTTGCAACAAGGCAGCTCAAAGTTGATGCGGTGCTCTTCATCCTGGGGGGCGTGACAAGCGCCCCTCATACACGAGTACTGTCCACAACAGAACGGCTGAACGGGTGCATTATACTTGAGGATGATCGTCACGGAAGTTTGAAAAAGCGCGTTGAACTTGAGTATCAATACATTCTACGACTGAATTATTTAATGAAACAAACTTTACCTCAACTTGGTATCATCACCACTGGCACGCATTCCCCTCTCTCTATATCAACGAGACATGATATTCTCACGTCGATTCTGTTCCATCGACAATGGTGGGCCACGCGAACCTTCACCTCGGTTCAATGGATATCAAATGGATCAACATTCTGTTCACGTCCTTCCATTCGAGATTGCACGTCATTTCGTCACTTTCTGATCTACGACCAACGCGCGTACAGTTTCAAGTCGAGACTTGAGAGGGAGAGAGTCACCCGGACAACATCCAGACGACGTCGAGTCAGATGGTACGATAAGTTGGGAATGGGTTAGCAATGGCAGCAGAGGTAGCAGGGGTCAGAAAAATTTAACAACGTGAGGTCCGGTCGTGCAAGAGACTGAAGAGCAAGCGATGACTGTTTCGATGCATTTAGTGGTCCGTCCTCGGTCCCTCATATGTACTTGAAGAAACACATTAGATGTTTGTAGCACCCATGAATTGTTTTTTACTGATCTCTGGTTGAACGAAGGTAGACTTAACGCAAGGTACTTACTTCTACGGCATTGCTTCGAGAACGTAAAACATTTAAGCGGTCAGCACGAACAAGTGCGTATGTGTTCAATAAGTGCGCGTGAAACTACCTTATCGACCAGTACGACGCATGACAGAGAAAGAGTCAAAATTTAGCTTACCAAAGACTCTCGCAGCAGCAGTAGCTGCTTGGGCTTGTTCAAACTACGATGACTCACTTCCTATGATTACAATACCCATAATGCCGCGCAGATAATTTAATCAAACTGACTGGAAGGGCTTTGTCGAGCATACACTTTGGCAAAACTGGCTAGAAAGGCTTTTTCGAGTCTCATTTTCCATCACCACCCCAAACCACTACAGAGCAATCGGACAAACCTGGGCAGCAACGTGCCGTACAAAATAGTCATGCTTTTGGCACCTAAACATGTGCTTCTTGATCATATCAAATGTGAGCTGTGCGCGTCCGAAGATGAACGTCCGAGATAAAGGCCTAGTAATGATAGATGTCGCTCTCACTTAGCCACGCTTTTGCCCACAACGTGCAGCAACGAGAGCAGCGCACGCTAGTGGGTCGTCTCGATCACTTTTCGATTCGCCCGCAAAGGCCCCGGTCGAAGCGACCATCTGACGTACGGGACACGATCTACGTGACCTTAACAGCAACCAAAAATGCCAGCTTGGTTGTCTTGCAATGTACGGGATTACCATGCACACGCTTATTTGCGCTTGTCATGCATAGACTACTATCTGGCCAGCAGAGACGATGGATGTAGCTAAAGTCACTCGCACAGCCGCCGACACGGATTAGCAGTAAAAGCCGAAGGCTTGGCCCCCAAGTCCGCCATTCCTGCTTTAACTGCAACCTCAACGAGCCGGCTTCCAACAAAGCGCAGCTTTTACATCAAGCGAGAGCTACGGCAGCCGTTTACTTCTTAAACGAGTACAGGAAATCGCATTCCAATACTCGTCATTAGTCACTAGATAAACTACATGAAGTCGCTGTATCATCACCGCCAAGAAGTAGGACCTCGTTGCGTGACCGGAGGGAGGATGTCGAACGTGCTCGGAACAATCTTGTCAACCCAAGGAGATACTGTACATCACGCAAATCGAAATCAACATGTGCACTAATATTGATTGACCGAAGCATGCATCAGTATCGTGGCGAGTTTTGTTAGGGTAGAGGCAGCTTTTTCACGTACCTGATTAAGCACATTCACGACATTGGATCGTCGGCAATGGAAACCTGAACGCCAAAACTCATTCGTCTGTAAGGCTGTCGTGCCCATAATGTTCAATAGCTTGGCGACTCGAGAGAAGCCCAGGTACCGCACATGTCTCGAAGGATTTCGATCAAGGCTGGAGTCGATTCGGTCTTCCATGTCAAAGTGTCGAGACAAGAACAAATAATTGTCATACTGCGCGCGTGAATGTGTCGCGTGACAGCAACAGCTAGTCGGTGGCTTGGTCAGCGGCCATACCACACGGCGGTTACTCTTTTGAAAAGGAACCAAGTGTTTCGAGAGCTCGTTCATAACGAAAGCATGACCTGCAAATACGTAGCTGGTATCGGCTTGCCTCCGAATGGAATTGACAGGCACGACGGCAGCATACTTATGAGTGAGCACATTCGTGTAAAGTCGACGTGAGAGGATCAGACCGAGCAGATGAGGTCGTTCTACGAAGAAGGGCACGAAGAACCTTATCGTGCCCTATACACGCTTGACTGACTTGTGTAAACGGAAGCAAGCAAACAATATTACGTCACGAGTCAGTGCTGCAACGAGATTGGCATGCGAAGGTCAGTAGTGCAAGAACTTCGTTTTGAAAATGCTACGCTTTTAGCTAAAACCACAATACCTACGCATACCTAGACCATATTAGGTAGCGGGTCCGCTCGATAGCTCAGCTGTTGCTTCCCTACAGCCGAAGGCACGGTCGTTAGTAGACCGTTCACGTCTGGAGCTAGAGTGAGTCAGATGACTCATGTGCTTCGTGGTGGTGGGGGTGCGCTCATATTCAAAATAATATTAATTAATTGAAAGCTTTCTCTTTTGAATGCTTTATATAATATCTAAGTGCCACAACACTAATTCGTAAATAGCGTATTGAGAAAATCATTCTTTCAAACACATTAGGAACTTATAGAATCGATAGTGGGAAAGAAACGAATTCGTAGAAGATTTTAACTCCAGTAGGTATATCGAACGTACTGTTATAAGTTGTAAGACGCATTACATTACCATTATATATTGAACGTTTTTGGTCATTTAATTTAAAAGTGACCCCGACTCTAATGTCGAGGGAAACATTATAGGCTATTTGTAAGTAAAGAATGTAAAGCCGGAAAATATCTGAGGAATGAGTGTTTGACTTGTTAAATTGTGCGTGTCAGTATATTCGAAAAATGGGACTTGACGCGACGACGGGGTAAATTGATATTAAGCCATTTTTAGAACACCTTCACCATTTGTATAACATTCCATAGCGGCGGGAAGATCAGCGACCAATTTTTATAAATTAATAGAACTCGTCAAAATCTATAACGGTAAGCTCTCACCAGTTATAGTTTATGAAAAATTCAAACTACTAATTTCTGCAATCTATCGTGTTCCCCAGATCCTTGTCTTCTTATTTACATTCGTAAACTTCAAGAAAACGCTTCGTAAATTAAATAACACATAAGAGATGGTGATTATCACACAGACACACTTCATAAGTTGTGGAGATACGCATGGCGCGCATAGAGATATGATTGTATAAACGCAATAAAGACAAAAATTCTCTACTTTTTTTTCATCCTATGGCTTATACGGCATCTAAGCTTAACATAGCTTTATATAAGTAAACGTTCGTGGCAGCTTGGTCCGAAGTTCATTCCAAATTTTAAAAACGTCAAAGTTCATTAATAAATAGCACACATGCAGCCTTCTCTTATATCTATGATTGAACTGACCAGAATTATCGCTCGACGGCGGAAGTCTCGTGACAATATTTTCAGGTGCCCTTTACCGTTGCTGCTGCGCAAGTGTCTGCCACATTCCTAGAGGAATCCAGACACAAATCCTCTTGACGCCACTATACGTATGATACCCTTATCGACTCTAGGCAGATATTGGTGGGACTTACATTCGGGGCCGCAGCGAAAATATTTAACCGAGTCGGTCAGATAATTGAGTAAGTGGAGAATAGCAAATTACATTAAAATTTGCTACTAGAGCAGCAGCTGAAACGCACTGAATACGCAACGTTAGATGACGGGCAGTACGAGTGGGGTCTAGTGGAGCACCTGTGTCGTCAGTGGTCGGCAAATTTAGAGGTGAGAGTTATTGAAAGAGTTGTTTCTTACTAGTGTTCAAGCTAAGCCATGGAGATGTGAGCCAGCCTAAAAATATACACGATTACGCTACTCATGGTTCAATACTTGACTATTTTAGCTTTAATTAGAATGGTTCATACAGTGAGTTCTCAACATTCCCGTTGTCAGATGCGAAGTGACCGCATCCTTTCCGTGCATTAGATCATTCAACATTAAATAAAGCATTTGTAGCGAAGCTACCCTTACTTCTTTGGCAGAGGAAGACTTATGGACAGCAGAGGTCTTTGTGTATCTGACTATACGTGTATCAACCTAAAGGTTCATTAGTATTTACAGACTTAGTAAGAAATTTGTCTAAGTATCGTAACAAGATCACAAGCTGAAAGTACTGCTTTAGAGGAGTGATGACTCCAAGGATTTATGTGGCACTAACGCCCGAGAGTACTAACATTTATTAAAGTCTGTTCTACTTACGATTGAAGACATCTTAGAAAGACACGTGTCTTAAACTGATCAAAAGAGGAAATGGATGTATTTACTGATTTATAGCGATAATAAATCTGACTAACGTCTTAAACCTTGGAACTATGCTACCTAATCGAATAGATCTCATAGGGATTCTTCTGGGATTACCACACCAAAACTACGCCGTCCTTTGAAGATCCTATTACTATAGATATTTTCCGGCCGTAACCAATATAATACAGTATTATTGCTTAGCGTATGTGACACAATACGACACCTATCAGAAAACTGATCTCTTCATATGTATATAACGACCAGCGGACCTGGTAACAAATGTTTGTGTAATGCCGTTACACGTTTCGTGATAATGAACGTGTGTTGTAAATTAACGATTCTGACCCACACTAGCATTTCGTCCTTGCACTCCCGCCAATTTTCCAGTGATTTTTGTCGAGTGTCTTGTGTTTATGAGAGCAGTGCTGTTTACAAGAAAGATATGCCAAGCAGTGTAAAGTTCCTGTCTTTGAAAAACATTATTTAAGAAACTACAAATGGACCAAAAGCCAACATTAAAGGCCGTAGTTCTATTGCCACCTCAGGCAGACTGGACGTTTAATGTGTCTTGACTAAGAGAGACATGCCAGCCTTTTTACCGATTATGATACCTCAATGCTGAAGAATTCGACTTTAGTGATGGAAACTAATACAAAAGTTATGCACAATTTGCGTGCACGCTCTATGCTAAAATGGAATACCACAATATTTAGTCTGCAAAACTTCATCCAACAATTTTAAGATTCTTTACTTAACACCTTTCAATTTTCGTTACTCGTCTTTTTTGCATATAATGTAGCATATGCAACGACACGTGCTCCTAATTTACTTTGTAAACTCCATGCGTTAGATACGGTCATATTAAGGGATCAACCAAAAGAAGATGTGACATATCACATGTTAAACAAAATATGGGAATCAGATGAAGGCATTCTGATTGTGTCAATCGTTTTCGTGAAAATCAAACATATCAGACGCTCGCCTAGTTGACATGCAAGCACTCCTTCAATTAAATACTAAAATGGTTTGAGCAAATAATAGATTAAGTAATTAAAGCCACTTATCTAGTCATAGAGTAGAAATTAACAGCTTTGTAATAATTATTAATGCCATTTGTGTTGTGCCTGAGTTATCTGTCGTGTCTTTAAGCATTTATCGATTATTTCAACTTTCCAGGCATACCATCTTAAGGATGTTCGTAACGAGTATATAGTTACAGCCTTAAAGTCCTGGATTGGTGTCTTTAAGGCGTAGGAGCTAAAGGATAAATGACAATCTACATCGCGATACTAGAAGCCCTCCTTCATTTAAAAACATGCTTATCGGCTAAAACGATTATCCTGTGATGAACTTTTATCGTATAGCGACCATGTAGATAAACGTTTACCGCGCCGGTCGTACACTGATCAATAGCTGCTTAAGGTTACTGCAATGCAAGGGCTCTAAAAAAAGACTACAGCGCATTCCTGGAATTGTCTTGCCGCAAAAACGGGTTAAATTAAATTTACACTCACTAAACTAGCGTTTACGCGACGAACCTTGTCATGTATTAAAAGCTTCGACAGCGCAATCGCCAAGCTCCGCAAATACAACGCCGGCAAGGTACGAGACTGCGCAATTATTGTCAAGGCAAGAACGACGCCGCTGCAGCAGAATCTGGACGCACATTCTTTCTGAGCAATAGATGTCAAGTTGATCTGTGGAGAGAGCTTAATGCGGTCAATTTAAGGGGAGTACAGACTTGTTCAGTGGCGGGCGTAAATAATCAGTGTGAACGAGGTGTATTTTAGCTAAGATCCATCCCAACACGCGAACCGTTGCTCGCTCCTACTGTTGCATACGAGCCTCGAATTCATGCCTGACGTTAGTTGTTAATGTAAAAGCCACACGGACACCCGTCTTAGGCTAGAGTAAGCCACGATTTGTTGCCCCAACTGGCACAAATATCATGGCTTGGTATTTTTAAGTCATCTAATACTAATAAAACATGCAAATAGATGATCGTGAAACTTTTAAAATCCGTACTGAGTTCAAAGCAATTATTAAACACCTCATGAATACGCGTATGACAAACCCTACAATGATGCTGAAATGCGAGAGCTACCATGAAAAACGATAACTATCTAAAATTAAAGGTTCATCTGAAAATTCTAAATTATCTGAATATTCATAACTCCTATACCATGGCGAGAAAGTCATCAAAAGTCAATTTACAAAATACTGCATTTATTACGATATTCAACAACGTTACATATTAAACGACGATTTTTTGCTCGAGACCTAAAAGAATCAGCAATTCGATTGGAAACGAACCCAACAGATAGCATTGGCCGTATAAAAAGTATTATTTCCACCACACTTTTTTCCATCCCCAATGCAAGGTACCCTTTTCTAATAACTGCATGCGCACCTAACATAAACCATAACGTTCTCCTACACAAATACTAAAAGAATTTCAGCTTTTGATCAATGCTAAATAAGATAAATAGTTGGGAGCTAGCTGATTCAATTACTTCCTCGCTCAAATTACCTGTCCTTAATTAGCTTATTCATTTCAGTATCCAACCGCGAGTTAGCATTCCAAAAGTAAAGACATTTCATCATCATTTTCAATCACACTATAGAGAATGTCAGTTATCAGGTTGGCAATCGATGCGAAATTTGTGTGACAAGCTTAGCTACGATTGTATAACTGCGAACGTCCGCAAAACTAGAAACAAGCGACAGCAAGTAATAATATAAAGGGAAAGACAAGACTATGATCATTGAAGGGGTGTATCTGCTTTGGACGATACCCATAAAAAGGATTGTATAATTTTCCAGCAAAACGCATGTGCAGCAATACTTAGGGTATATGCATTGCTTAAGACAAGACACCATTGACAGATGTACTTAGTATTCTAATAGATTTATGGCTAACTATCCAGTGTATGCAGAAGATTTAATTTTTGCGAATTTATTGGTTCTTGTAGTAGATTCTTCTTAAGCGAGAGGAAGATCACAAGCTCTTGTTTTAACGCCCAAGGCCTTCGGGCGTAGTAGCAAGTTCTTGTGATCTAAAACATAAAGCTGCTTCCCTTGCAATGCGTACTACATCACCTTGAAGAGAGTGCGCACTAAAAGGCAGCAAATTGTTTGTGGATGCTCAGAAGACCAAATCGCAAGTTGCGCACAACTCCAAAAAATAACGGAGAAGCAAAACTCAATTCTGTTGAAACTTTCGTGACAAATTTTTGGTTAGTCGAACAGTGCACGCACTGAAAATCATAGTTGAAAGTGGGTGTGGGAGAGAAGCTGGAACAATTTAGTGCATTGTGGCGTGATGCGCCCGTAGTTATTAGCTAAAAGTAATGGCGGGGTGCGAACTGTAAAAATTGTGGTGTCTCGGAAAAAGGATGGTGGAAATAGAACTAATTAGGATATAATAATTATTATGTGGTGGATGTAACAACCTATTGCCATGTTAAAGGGTGAGTTCCAGGACTTGATCTCAGTATAGTTTGGAAAATATTTATCAGAGCTCGAGGTGGCAAGTTTTTGATAGTTGCATTTCGGCTTTACTCATCTACAGAAATCATCTTTATAATTTACAGGCTACAGTTATACTAGTACCTGTCCAACCTTATATAAAAGATGCGAACCGAGCTTTAATTGAGGCGGACAAATAATAGTTTACTGTAATGTTGCCATGTTTCGTGTGCTGAAGCGATGCAAAAACCCCTATATTTTCAGACGCAGCCCGTGGTCCGTACACGAAATGACATAAAAGTCGTAACATAATAAGTCAGAAAAGAAGTCGACGTCGATTTTTGTCTCCTATTAATTATCAAAATCTGGAAACGGAATTTTAGACCAAGATGGGAGCGCTAGTCGATTTAGCGCTAATCGTTGCTGGTAGCTGGTCATGAATTCCACTCTCTGCTTAGCCAGTACTCGTACAAACATAGTCGCATAGTAGAGAAGCATTTGTGACCTGCTCCTAGTATTATTTGCCCCGGTAATCCTGCATTATATAGAACAGAACGTTCTCTAATTTGAGTAATGTCAAGCGCTTACTCACAAAAGTAACCACATGAATTCAAGCACGTTTATCGTACTGCAAAACGGTAGAAAACGACATGTTATGCTTGTCGAGAAGACGTAGAGATAATGGACGACTTTTTTAGCACTAGACAGGACAAGGTAAAGGAAATCATGTGCCTTCTTAACGCGTAAAATTAGAATCAACAAGAAAATCATTTCCGGTCTTCGGTGCACAGAATTAGAGGAGATTGCCAGGTTAAAGTAGTGATAATGGTTTTTGAAGTGACTCTGATGTAATCTTTGCGAAAATTAGAGTCCCGTCCAGGCGGAACGTAACGGGGTACCGGTCTCTTGTACTTTCACAGTAAAAACTAGTTACACTGAACACACAGTAAGCTGGTGTCTTGAGATACTTTTCACATGGGTTGTGCAGTGATAGATTTTAACATACGAGAAAAAGTTCAAAATAGAACTGTACTATTATATTCGATCCCCCATAAAAAAACTACTTGGTCTTCTTTAACGGCACCTAAATGCAAACATGTATCGTAAATATGTGTTTACCACTCATGGCGTTCATCTGTCGTGGCTCGGCTTTTTAAGTTTTGATGTTATCATTTTGTACCCATAAGCAGCTTAATACTTTACACCACAAATTTACTTATTTAGCCAATATTGTGAGGTGTTCTTTTTGTCCTAAAATACAGTCTTCCCTCTGCTAAGTTATAGACTTGGTGGAAGGCAAATCCTATAACATAGCAGAGGTTATTCCATAGCAGAGGTATGCTGCGGAAAAATTATAAATTTAATTAAATTAAAGAATCAAAAACGCAACAAACCTCCAGGCTTCCAAAACCTGTCTGTCACGTGTCACGTGCCCTATGAAGATTTTGTGATTTTGGTTGCCCCACCAGTCTCTGGTGTTTTTGCTATCTCTAATTAAGAAGTTCCACCAGCTGTACCTTGCTCACTCACAACAGATGTCGCAGATACGTCTTACCAACAAGCAGAAGCTGCGCATCTGCAAGCACCAGGATGCTAACCCGCGCATCACCCAGACTGCCCTGGCGGCTTGGACAAAGGACGCCTTTGACCTCCAGAAGGCACTTTCCCAGGCAGCGATCAGCAAAATCATCAAAAAAAGGAAGGAGCTTGAGGCAATGGACACCACTGACCTCAGCGCTAAGCGTCCTCGGACTGTCCAGCAGCCAGCTGTGGAGGAGGCCGTCGCCTTCTGGATCTTGCAGTGCCAGCACCGTGGGGTCGCTCTCACTGGAGATCTCATACGGGCCAAGGCTCATACCTTTGCGGGATCAATGGGCGTCTCGGAGGAAAACATCAGCTTTTCGCATGGGTGGCTCCACAAATTCCAGCAACGCCACAAACTGCGAGCTGTCCGCATTCATGGCGAGAGTGGCTCAGCAGATATGGGCGCTCTAGAGGAGGCTCTTCCACACCTCAAAGCCGTGGTTGCTGGTTATGCGCCACGTGACGTGTACAACATGGACGAAACTGGGTAGGTCTGAGAATACGGTACAGTACTGTACTCATTGTACAGTACAGAAGCATCTCAAAGGCTCACTTTCTGTTCAGGTTTGTTCTACAGTATGACGCCCGACAAAACGATCGCCCAGCAAGAGGTCGAAGGGTTCAAAAAAGACGAGGTACAGTATTACTCTCCTCTTGGTTTCCTGCGTTTCTCTGAGACTAACAACTATTCCAGACGCGCATCATAGTTGCTCTCACGGCAAACGCTGATGGATCCGACAAACTCCCGCCGTTCTTCATTGGACACGCCAAAAAGCCGCGGTGTTTTGAGCACAAGACAGCTGAGCGACTGGGCTTTCTCTACCGCAACAACAAGAAAGCCTGGATGACTGGCATACTCTTCCAGGAATGGCTGGGAGACGTCGACAAAAGTATGAAGGTAATTTGGGGCATGCCTTGAACATCATCGTTGTGGTACAGTAAAGGAGGTTTGACTAACGCGTTGACCACAGCAAAAGGATAGAAAAATCCTGCTTCTCATGGACAACGCTCCTTCACACATTGTTGCTGACCTGGAACTCACCAACATCACGGTCCAGGTTCTTCCTCCTAATACGACTTCAAAGGTCCAACCCATGGATGCTGGGATTATTGCCGCATTCAAGAGGCACTACCGCCGGCTGCATCTGCAGAATGCCTTGGACCGTGACGAGAGCAGAGAAACCAACCTTTACAAGGTTGATCAGCTCACGGCCATGCGTTGGTCGCTGGCTGCGTGGAGCGAGATTTCCAGTGCCACAATCGCCAACTGCTTCCATCATACGGGACTCATGGACGGTCCGGCTCTGCCGACTGGTGATGGTGAAAACGAAGCCGGCACTGTTGGCCGGCAGGCCCAGCAGGAGGCAGCTGCTGCTGCAGTAGAGGAGCAGCGCGTGGAACAGGATCTTGTTTCGGCGCTGGAAAGGCTCCCGCTCCGCAATCCCATATCGATCGCTTCTCTTATCAATCCGGCTGAGGAGGAGGAGACGGCGCATGCGGAGCTGACCGATGCCGAAATCATCAAGCTTGTTGAGGATCCGTATGGGGAGGAGGAAGGTGCTGCTGAGGCGGAGGAGGAGGTGGAAAAGCATTCGAAGGCTGAAAAGCTTGCCAGCCTTAGTCTATCCATCGCCCTTCTCGACCTTTCTCAGGAGTCCCATCGTAAAGCTCACCGGACCCTTCGCCAAGTCCAAGCTGATCTCCGTAGTGCGAGCACCACTCAGGCCACACTTGATTCCTGGCTGAAGTAGTTCCCTCTCCTCTTTCCACTCCTTTCTTGCAGTGAATAACAAAAAAAAAGGTTCTGCGTACAATATTTCTGCTCACGGCGGACAAAAATATATTTCCTCTGATAAGTTGTATTTGGCCCTCAGGCTATTCCGAATAACTTATTCCGTAGTCACCATAGAACGAGGTCGGTGGAGACCGAATCCTATAACTTACCGGAGGTTATTCCGTAGCCGGGGATAACTTAGCAGAGGGAAGACTGTACATATTTATTCTAAATTATACCTTGTATGAATATTGTGTAACCTAGACACCTTGTTGCAGGGAATGGAATACAGCGCAATACCAGTTCATTTGCAAACATTCAGTCGAGTAGGCGATGGTGTTGTGCTCTTCCGTTAATACGCGGAGCTGGTCTAACAAAAGCTACTACTTTCCCTATAAATTTAATATGACCAGACAGACTGGCACAAGCCCGTCCAGCAGCTTGCGGTCAATCAACCAACACTTGAAGCAAGTTGAAAGCTCTAATGACTCGTGCAGAGTCCGTCTACCACAGCTGATTCTTGCTGTAATGTTGCGGTTGTGTTGCCGCTTTATAATAATTTATTTAGATAGGTTCCACCCAATCATCAGGCCTGCTATTAATAAAAAAACATCGCAGTTGTTGATCCCAATATCTCGGGACAACAGATTAATTGCTAATTGTAGAAAAGTTCGTGTCGGTGTGTATAGCCAAGCATTTTGTCGTGCATTCGGTGCAGTAGATTGACACAGGGTGTCATAACTGTACTTTTCCAGATTTAGCATCATGACGTATAATTGTTGCGTCTACTTCGATTTTTAGTGTGTAGTAGTCAGTTATTAATACTGCCTAATGCGGCTAGAGAATCGGATGCGAAAGGACTTAACAAGGTTCACACGGCCTCTATCATTCGTTGTTATATGCCTACGAACGAGTGATCACGTTCGGCAAGCTCGACAGCACCATCATTACTAATTGTGTGCTATATTAATGGTAAATCTAACGTACATATTTTAATTGCCATATACACCCACGTGCTTCGTAGACTTTTAATTTAGCTTGTATGTACTAAATAAATAATTGCTGAGAGAACATCCAGTGTTTAGCAAGAAAAAGTCTACTATTTAGTCTTTGTCAGCCCTCCTTTTCCGTCTTCGTAGATTTAGAGCCTTATTGGCGACAAGTCATCACATATTCATTTCAAATAGTACATATCGAGATGTTGAGCCTCAAGTCGCGTCTGCTTCAGTCTCCTTCGCTAGTCTTTGTGCGATTATAAGGGCCGCTGCACACAGCGATGAGGACACAACTATAACTACCAATATGACAAAGAGCCAGACCCCGTACCATAAAGGCTATTAAGTATAACAAAAAAAGTCCAGCCTTTCAGCCAGAACGCTGTGCGCCAGATTTAGCGCTGTCACTTTTTTCGTACGAATCTTGTGGTGCAACGGGCACTTGTCACTAGTACCGCTTCAGTACTAGTGCACCTACACTGAAAATAGTGTAGGTAGTACCGCGCGTCACTTCACGTACACCGTACGTGCAGAGGAAGGCTAGCTAATGAACGACGCGTTCAATAGGAACAGAAAGCAAATGTATTGAACGTAAGTAAGTCCTAATTACGTGTACCAATGTTTAGTCCTAAATCAATTATGTTTTCTACAAAAGTGTATGTAAAATTATTGGTGTCCGATCATTGCACGCGTCTACCGTTGGTTGGACCGCTCGAGCTGGCTGATATGATTGCCCATATCAGCGAATCGGTGAGTGCTTAGAAATGTCACCTTTATGGTCAATTTAGCGAACAATTATCAACCTTTATGATTATTTTCTAATTACCAGGTTTTAAGGTTAATTACATGTAACATGCTTGCCTTGTTACAACAACACCCATTTACGATAGTCAATCAGTCGCTTTCATGTTATGTGGTTATCTGTAGACAACATCACGGACAGGAAGCACTTTTCTTGGTCCGATCCACTCATTTTTGGATCTTCATCGCATGGTGAACAAGTCCATGCGATTTGAAGAGGAAGCCGCTCCTGACGATGCCCACTCCTTGCGGCAGACAATCCTTCGTCTTCTGCCGCTTCAGCTCTTCCTGCAACATCAGGTGCTGAAGATGCATGCAGTGTGTCACCACGTGCTAATGATGATAATGGTTTCCAAGTGAAACTTATCAATCAGGCGGAGTCGGACGGTGGGTCCGACTTTAAGAAGAAGCCTAGTTCGCCCTTTAAGATTTAAAAGGCGACCATGTACGATCCTACAAACAGGACTCAAGCGGGTAGACAGGTTCATAATTACTACTAGATCCTGATTAATTTGAAGGATGAGTATTTTGACTTTTCCCCTACGCCTGCTACTGCGCATTCGCTCCTAGTAAATGCGGTAATGCGTTGTAACGTAGTGATGACGATTGCAGTGATACCGTATTTTCCGTTGGTACCACGCAGGAGACTCCAGACGGCAATGTGTTGCGTTCAGCCCCTAAGCACAAGCCTTGAATACTACCACAAAGGCTAGTAAATGGCTTGTCAGACGAGACAAGTCAACATCATCGAACCCATTGTTTGATGCAAGGCTGTTGCACGGCCTATGCAGCGACGCGAATAACTTTTGCGCTGATGAGGAATCTACCTCGATTCTTTTCTCAAGCTTCATTTGTTGATCGACAACAAACGGCACAAAACCTCGTTGCTACAGGCGCGGAATGCCTTCATACTCAATGTGTAGCACATTGGGCGCGAAGATTGGCTCAAGTTTTTTTAAACAAAGCTCATTTTAGGTTCGATGAACGATTTTGACTGGTGCACAAGACAGTTTGCACAATCTCTTTCGTAAGGCAGGAATTCCATGACGTGGGGCTACCCATATCCGTGTTGTTTCGATTACACGCCACGAAGCCAAATGGACTTGTGCTCACTTTTTTCGCCCTGAGGTAGTGCGCACATCTTTTCTGAGATGCGCGATGCGTTTTTTATCACGCAATCGCTCTATCAGCGCCATGAGCGAGTATCCTCCAATGGCCCTTCTGAGTCATGTGGTGTGTCTCGTCGTCCTAGTATATGTTTCCCTTAACGTCAACCATCAGCTATGCGCGAGGCCCCCAACTGTCGTGCGACGGCGTATAACCGCTTTAGAGAACAAGAACACTCGTTCGCTTCCCCTTCACGTCACATTGGTTAGGATACGCTCTACGTGAAAGCTTTTCCTACCGTGCAAGTTCACTAACGGCTGTGGTGGGGGCAAGAATATCAACTCCAGTTATGTTTTGGTGTTGCAGACGGATTTTAGATCTTTTTAACAACGTTTACGCGATTTGTGCAATTGCACCGATCAAGAGAGACTGAAGCGTCTCACTTCGTATTTGCGGGTGAGACGCCTCTGCCTTCATCAATCCGATGACCGAGCGGAGTTCGCGTTTCACCAATCGGAGAGCAAAAAGATGCGTCAAGCCTTTCGCGACGAAATGCCTAACAATCTGCCAAAATTCGGCACTACAATGCTAGATTGAGAGGCTGGATTGGAACCTAAAAATCTACAAAAGGCATTTAGGCGTGTCGCACGCATTTGCCCGAGGATGAGGCCTCGTGCTGATAGTACAAACGGAGGCGGTCGACGTAAAATTTAGAATGCTTGCGCATCCTTTGAGGCAAATCTATCGTGTAAGCGTTGCCTTTGCGTCATTATATACGAAACGATCCGTTGTACTTGGGCAGCAGTAAGAAATAACCCATTTTATTACTGCGTGCTTAAGTAAATTCATCGTAGAAAGTAGAACTAATTTTCCACTGTTAGATAAAAGAACGTTTGCTCTTCCATGTTTCGGCGTTCCTTTTATGCAGGTTGACCGCGTTAGCGATGGAGACATGCACAAAACGACACACTGCTTCTCAAGTCAATAGGAAATCATCTGCTAAATCGGTTGTGTTTGTATTAGTGCGCTTGGTGCGCACTGCCAAGAGCTGTCTCTTATTTAAGTTAGGGTGTAATCATACTCGCTGGCATAGTCGTTTGCGATAATTACTATTATAGCATCACCGTCCTCGTCTGATTAAGCATTAGTGTCGTCAATATTACTGATGTTCTATTATAAATGTCATTTTGATCGGTATCGGCAACATCCGCGTCGTCGAGTACTTAGATACGTGATATACAAGAGTCTGAACGGTTTTTACTCGAGCAATTCCCCTTTTGGATCAGATTCTCACTCTTAATAAATGGGTAGGCGTATATAAGGTAATCCATTAACAAAGAATGGTGTATGCGTTGTCTAGGCATGCACGGCGTTGTTAATGGCAAACTCCACCATCGGCAAATGGTCGTTACAATCTGTGATAGATTAGACGATTCATCGAATTATTTCTTCGAGGACGCGGTTGACGCGTTTTATCTTACTATATCTCTTGGGATGGTCATATGCAAACACAGTTGAACGTGTTTCGAGGCTCAGAAGACGTATTGCCATAACTGTTCAGTGAGTTAAGGGTATCTGTCACAGACTAGCTCACGGGGTATAATGTGGATTCAAAATACCCTGTAAATGAAGACACGGACATAGCCCTGTGCTGTGATTGGATTCTGTACGGCAACAAGATGTACTATCGTGCTGAAGCAATCAATATCCACAAAAAATATTAGCATTCTTAGTAAAGTCATCGGAATCTCGACACCGAAGTCCATTAAAATAAGTTACCAGCACTCTGAAGAAATACGTTAAGGCTGTAGTGGCGCATGTGATGAGATAACGGGCTTCACCCACTGGCACCACTCACAAGCCCGAATGCACTTGCGCACAGACTGATAGTGGAGGAGCCATTAAATGTTGCGACTTACCGTAAGAGTAGCTCTCTTGCGTCGACGATGCTCACTAGATGGTGCATCGAGGTACTCGTACAAGATGCGCAAGCGCAAACTGTTTTAGGTGGGGACGAGGATACGAGGTGTGGCGCCGGCAACGGCTGTATATGACCGCTAAAAACCGTTGCGCT